ATTTCCATTTTTGGAGAATTTGAAAATCTACACGACCAATAAAAAGTTGTGGGACTAAGTGATTTGCACTGTACCAGTATTTGATTTGACTGTGCTTCACATACAAATACATGACACTATTAAAGTGCCAGTATAATTTATATAAATAATAAATTAGCAAATTATAAAAAACAATTGATAAATTTTGTTTATACTTTATGTATTTACTAAGTAGATATATAACTATGACTATGATTTGATTATGATTTTTTGCATTCCATTTTGATGTTCTTTCTTTCATTCTATGTTTGTTCATTTTTGTGGTTGCTGGCTTTCAATTGGTTGTCAAACGTTTTCTCAACTGAGGCTGAGGCAGAATGTGCTAAAATAGCAATCTATATTTTGCCTTGAACAATGCATTCAAATACCAGATTTGAGGCACAAATGCTTCAATTTGAATTATGACAATTGCATATATTCTAAGTGAATTGTCATTGGTACAAATGTACTGGCATAAAGTACCAAGCAGGAAATGCAGGTGGGACCTTGGAGCCAGATGATCTTGTCAGGTACCCTGGCCAGAGGAGTTACTGCAAGGCTTGTTATGGATTGATCATGACTTTGTTAATTTTTTTTACTTTTTGCTCTGATTGCTCACATGATGTATGACAGGGTTGAAGCATGAATTTTTTAATTTGAATAATGACATTTGTATATACCTCATAATTTTTTCATTACTTCATATAAATATGAAGGACCCAAAGCTTTTGCAAAGTAGTCTGAATTTCGATTTTTTCATCCACATATTTAGCAATTAAAATTGGTAATTATTTTTTTAACACATTGTAAAATAACTTGGTATGGTAAAACTTTATTGATTTGCATTACAATTGTTACATTTCATAATACTGTATATAAAAAAGTGTAAAACATCAGGATCACGATGCGTGCCACAAAGTCAATATAATAACTACTATTCTCAATTTTGAATAATGTACAAATACAGAATAAAAGAATAAAAAAGATTATGCATTATCTTGTTCACTTAAAACTAGTTGTTGAACTCGATACAGATCAATAATAAAATTAACAGGCGCAGTTTCAGTTGCAAGAGGATTTAGGAACAGCTGTATGTCCTCAACTGCAGGTGGAAGTGGAAGTACTGGATCCCAAAAGACTTGTGAAATTGGGATAATGACTTGATATTGAGGGAGGTTGGGTGCATTACAGGTAGTAGGAGTTTGTTTTTTTCGAATAAGGGTTCCAAACTGCCACTAAAGGTATTTAAAAGTTGTTAGATTATTTAAAATATAAATTACAGACTTGCTTCATACCTCCTGGTACCCTGTTCCCTGTTGCCACAATCTAGCTGTCATAGATCTATGATATTGCCCAAGATCATTTTTTCTATTTCTTTTTTTGTGTAATTTAATTCCAAGTACATATTGTATGTAAATTTGATTCATTCATAGTTGGCACTTGTCATTCCATTCTTTAGTGGATTGACCATTGCCTACTTCACAAACAACTCTCACATGTGGCCGACCCTATGTTGAAAATATTAACTTTAGAAAATCAAATGACAAATATGTTCATGTGTAAAAAATAAAAATACATTTCTGTTTCCTGGAGGAGGGCCTGGATATGGAATACAAGGCTGTTGGACATGACTTGCATTTGCATATACCATAACATCTGATGCAATTAATTGGTCATTTCCAGATGGACTAAAATGAACTGAGGAAAGGTATTAATTTCAAAGGACAATTATGGATCAAAAAGTCAAATAAGTTAAAAGAATTACTTACATTTATCAATACCAATGACTATTGGAGGATTAATAATGACACCACCATTGACAATCTTAAAATAGTCTTGCAACAATGAAGCAACTAAACCATGTTCGGAATTGCTCATGTCAATTATAAGTACGTCACCATTATCTCTTCATTGATATTTATATCCAGAAGACTCTTGATGTTCAAGGAATTTATTATATTCTTTTATTGTTATATTTGAGCCGATTTTATAAGGTAAACTGACAATTCATACAAGTCAACACTAGCCAGATATTGAAGTATTTTAAGTGTCTTACATTTGATGCTCACTTACCTGTCCTTGTTTAACAGCTGATCTGGAAAATGAGGACTGTTTGGAGTAATTTGTTTAGAACTTTCTTCATTGCTGGAGTGGAGATTTTTGAAATCAACAAGTTAATTACAGTCTGGGATTATACCAACATAGTGGGCTTTATCTGTGATTGGTTGATCCATAAAGAAATTGATTGGATAATTTTATAATATGCCAATCATTATTAAAACT